GCTTCTCTTGTTGCGGAGCACGGGCTCTAGAGTGCAGGCTCAGTAGTTGTGGTGCATGGGCTTAGTTGCTCCGTGGCATGTGGGATCTTCCTGGACCAGGGCCCGAACCTGTGTCCCCTGCATTGGCAGGCGGACTCTTAACCACTGCGCCACCAGAGAAGCCCTGGGATGATTTTTTTTTTTTTTTTTTTTTTTAAAGTACAGATCTGCTTCTGACCATGGGCCTCTTTGATAGCGCTCATGGGAAATAAAGTAGGTGCCAGCCTGTCCAATCCAAGCATTGCTGGAGAAAGTGAAATAAAACAGTTCACAAATGTGAACCGAATTTCTGCTTGAACCTCCTTTCCACTTGTGGTAGAAGCTCAATCACAGTCAACTTATGATATGATGAGTCCATTATGATCTCGTTTCCAAGGGTTATGCCTGAATTTGGGGGACATTCAGAAATGCCAAGGAGTGGGTGGTGGATCAGTGCCCTCACAGACCACCCCCGGTACCCCAGGATGTTCTCATTTCTGCCCAGTCTTTGGTTGTTGGTGCACAAGTCACTGCTGGCCCCCTTCATGCCCACAGCCGAGTCTCTAGGTTCTCTGTGCTGTACTGCCCTCAGTTGTTCTGGAACATCTCACTGCTCTTGCACCATCTAAGTGACAGAACTCCACTTCCATGGCCTCTGGGACCCAGGGGACTGCAGCGCTGATCCTCTGCTGCTGCCTGTTTCACTGAGTAACTCAGCCCCATCTGCCTATGTCAGACTGCAAACCAGTGGCCCACACCTGGTCCTCAGATATGTTTTGTTTCATCTGAACTACTACAAAATTACAATTAGATCCAACACTTAGAAGTCAGAAGATTTCACATATTTCAGATCCTCCTCCCATCCTTTCCTGTCTCCTTCCCTTCTCTGAGCCCACCAATAGACTTATATTACCTTTAAAAAGCCACCCCCTGCAATATGCCTCAAAATGCCACTTCAAGCTTACTTTTTCCAGTTCTGCTTCACATTTGACACTGTATGGAGCTAGAGACTTGACACTCCCTGAACCCCAGTGCTTCTTAATTGGTGGCGAAGGACCAATTTAAAAATTTCCAATTGATTGCAATAGTAAAAGACAAAAGAGTTTAACAGTAAATGAAAAATGAAATAAAAGGACATAAACACAAGCTCAATTTTTAAAAAAGTATTAGTTTGAACAGAAAATTACTCCTTCAAATTACTATATAAATTTTTAAAATGCTTACTCTCAGTTTCTCTACTTAACTCATTGTAGATCAATAGCAGTTGTAAGAACGGCCCTGAACAACTCCCAGATTTCTCTGCTTCTGTGCCTTTGCTTATGCTGTTCCTCCACCTTGAATGCTGTGCCCATTGCTGTCCACCCTCCCTGCCTTCCCTGGCCTTCAGTACCATGCTTTTCTTCTCAAGACCTCCTGATCTTCCAAGGTCCTTTCAAATGCCATCTCTGCTAGGAGGCATCTTTCCTGCTCTTTGAGCCCCCATGGAACACAGATTGACTGTCATCCTTTGGGCATTGTATTATGATCATGGTGTACTGGTGTCATTACACCCTGGCCTGATATTCCACTTCCTGAGCTTGAGGACTTTCTTTCCCATGGTACTAACACAGAGCCTTGTATCTAGTAAGCTGTCAACACATGCTTGCTGATTTGATACTTCAGTTAAAAAAAATAAAGATACCAGGACTTCCCTGGTGGCTCAGTGGTTAAAAATCTGCCTGCCAAAGCAGCGGACATGGGTTCGATCCCTGGTCCGGGAAGATCCCACATGCCGTGGAGCAACTAAGCCCATGTGCCACAACTACTGAGCCTGCGCTCTAGAGCCTGCGAGCCACAACTACTGAGCCCACGCACCTAGATCCCATGCTCAGCAACAAGAGAAGCCACCGCAATGAGAAGCCCGCGCACCGCAACGAAGAGTAGTCCCCGCTCACCGCAACTAGAGAAAGCCTGCGCACAGCAACGAAGACCCAATGCAGCCAAAAATAAATAAAATAAAATAAATTAATTAAAAAACAAAAGACGACAACAAAAAACAAAGATCCACTGGGTTGCTCACATAGCATTAGTGGCAGAGGTGGGAACAAAACTCAGGCTCTTAGTTTCATTCTCAAGAATTCTCAAAAATATAGCCTTAAAATTTGAGATCTCTATTATAGAGGATCACAGAAAAATCTGATGAACAGAAGAAAACCATAGGTCTATTTATTATTGCCAAATGAAATTTGACAATCTGAATGTCTTACTGAATTTGAATGAAGGCTCAGGCACCTTGAGGAAGCACATGAAAAGGCCCTGGAATTAGAATCCACATGTTCTTTTACCTTGGTTCACGTTCACCCAAGATTTGGTCATTCCTGATTCTCTTTCCAGCTTAAAAAAAGGGGCGGGGGAGGGACTCCAGAGGACTGAGAAATCCAAAAGGGATATTACTAAGGGGGCTGCTGGCAGGAGTTCATCCAGCCTCAGAGAGACTGTTCTTGGAAAAGAACACCCTGGAGAGCTGGAACAATGAAGGAACCAGGCAGCTTGGGAGCGATAGCAAAGATGTGGAAAACCCTGCCTACCCTTTCAGGGCCTCTTTGAAGTTGAGGGAGGTCAGACTATTTCTAGTTTTTGAGGTTTTAGGTATGTTTTTAAAATCAAGGACCACCAAACCTTGTAAAAATTGTGGTATACATTAAATGTTTAATGTACGGCAAATTAACACTTTTTGCGCACACACACACACACACACTCTCTCTCTCTCTGTCTCTCTCTCTCACAGATAAGAAGACAGCATACGTAGCCTCATGTGAAAATTTAGCTCAATGTCTGTATGTAAGGCTGTTTGTGAGTATGAGGCCTGGGATGGGGGTTGAGGTTGGTGGTAGGAAGGCCCACTTCTGATGGTTTATGGCTGATTTCCCCTCCTTTCTGCCCCCAAAAGTTCAGATATTTGCCTCCTATTCTACCTTGGGAACCATTTGCAGCCATTTTCTCTCTCTATTCAAACATTCCCTGACAATCTCATTCATTCTTAGGGTTTGAATTGTCATGTTTGCCGACTGTCAGATCTATACCCTCAGGTCTGGCCTCTCTCCTGAAGCCCAGATCCTTGTATCCAGTCTTTGTACCCAATGTCCACTGGACATTTCCATCCCTCTTGACGCCTCAAACTCAGTGTTTCCAAAAATAAAGCCCACTCTCTCTTCCTTTTCCTTTCGTATTCCCCAATCTCTGATTCTGTGCTCCAGACCCAGTTGAACATGAAAAGACCCAGCCTGGAACTCCCTCTCACCTTTCCCCGCCATTTCCCTTTGCCCAGTTCCTGCCTATGCAGCCCTAAGATGGCATTTCCCTTACTCCAGAAAGCTGCCACTAACTCCTTGGAACAGGCTGGGCCCCTGGCCACACACTTTCAACCAACTGACTTGCTATTCTGTTTACTTACCACCATGGTCAGAAGTTAATTAATTGTGGACTTTTTCTTTTTATGACTGTTCCCACTGATAGCAGATAAGCCCCTTGACCGTATGGATCGTTTCTACCTTGTTTGCTGCTCTATTGCCAGGGTCTGGTATATGGTACCCGGAATGCCGTAAGCACTTAATAATTATGTATTGACTGACTGACTGAATAAATGAATCCTGTCTCTCCTCTGCTTAGAACACTTCAAGCTGGCAGTCTTAAAGTCCCATCCGTTCAGCATGGGGTCTGAGGCCCTATATGTCTGAAGCCTGTCTACATTCCTTCCCACCCTCATTCTGTTGGTCCTGGGTCCTGTATAGTCTAGTGGGTAAGAGTTCAAGTTTTATAATCTGATGGCCTGGGTTCAGGGATCCCAGCTGTGCCACTTACCAATAATTTTCCTTGGAATATTACTGATAATTTTACTACTAATATTTTTTCTACTTACTAATTATTTTCCCTGGGAAAATTATTAAAGCTTTCTGTGCCTCAGTCTCCTGTCTTTTTAAAATTATTAATTAATTAATTTTAATTAATTAATTTATTTTTGGCTGTGTTGGGTCTTTGTTGCTGTGTGCGGGCTTTCTCTAATTGCAGTGAGCAAGGTCTACTCTTTGTTGTGGTGCGTGGGCTTCTCATTGCAGTGGCTTCTCTTGTTGCAGAGCACAGTCTCTAGGCACACGGGCTTCAGTAGTTGTGGCACAAGGGCTCAGTAGCTGTAGCTCGCAGGCTCTAGAGTGCAGGCTCACTAGTTGTGGCACACGGGCTGAGTTGCTCTGCGGCATGTGGGATCTTCCTGGACCAGGGCTCGAACCCGTGCCCCCTGCATTGGCAGGCGGGTTCTTAACCACTGCGCCACCAGGGAAGTCCCAGTTTCCTGTCCTTTAAATGGGATTAGTAATAGTACTTACCTGGTAGGCTGTGAAGATTAAAATTATCTTGATTCATCAACAGCGTATTAGATATATGACACACGTATACACGTGTGTATATGAATTTATATATCAACATATAAGGCAGTACATCGCATATGTGTATGACGTGTGCATATGTTAATTATGTGTATACATGTATATTGATTCATTTGTGCATGTATGTGTATATATGAATTGATATGCAAAGAGTGTGTGTGTGCGTGTGTGTGTACATAGTGCTTGCAGCAGTGCCTGGCACATAGCACACGCTGTGCTGTTTTCCTATCATGCCCCCCCACACTCAGTGCTTGAACCACACTGAACCAATGTTGGTTCCGCAGTGCACCATGACCTCTCTTCTCTGCCCCTTTGCACTTGCTCCCCTCTCAGCCTGGAACAGCCTAGTATCCTTCCTCTACTTGGGGAAGTCCTCCTGGCCTTCACGACCCAGGTCAGGTCACCACCTTTGGGGTGCCTTGGACCACCCTCTTTCCACCTGGTGGTGTGCAACTTCCCTCAGTGCATCATGACTCCGTGTAATCATTTCTAGTCTGCTGCCATCAGTGACTGTGAGCTCCTTGAGGGTAGGGTTTGTGTTTCATTGTTTTGTATCCTGCATCTAGCACAGTGTCCTGGCTCCAGCAGTGCTCTAGAAATATTTGTTGAAAAGTGTAAACAATCAAAATGACTTATAGGCAGGACTTGTATATACATATGTACACACGGGCCAGTGACCCCTGTGGAGGGCCTGGGTCATCCATAGGAGAGGAAGAAGGGCCCAGTGTAGGGCCATGGCACAAAGGAAGAAGCCCCTCTATTTCTGGGGGTGGAGGTTGTGTGGAAGGAACAGCATTAACAGAGGAGTATGTCCAGCTTTGCATGTGAATATCCTGGGCACATTCTGTTGTTCTTACCTCTGCAATGCTCTATATGCTCTGGTTGTAGCTTTGCTCCTAATTTGACTGTGATCTTGGGAAACAAATTCTTGAAACTTCAGTTCTCTCATCTATAAAACAGAGACCCAATCAACTGCCCTGACTGGGTTGATATTTATCTGCAGTCCCTTCTACGGCAGAACTGACTGCTTTGGACCGTGTCTGTTCTGACTGTGCAGTGTCCATGCCTCTCTATTTGTTAATTTTTGAATATCCACCCTGATCCCTAACTACGTAGTAAGTATAAATGTATGGTCACTTCCTTTTGATGTTCATGTTTACTAAATATTAGTCATTTGCATACCACTTTCTGATTTACCCTGTACTCTCACTTTACCTACACTACTTTTTTGGCTAAGTATTTTTATTTAAATTTGACTCACTTTTTGCTTATACTCACTTTAGCCTTGTTCTAAACCAGAATATTCTTAAAATCATGAATTTTATAGGCACGTAGTACTTTTTAAATACACACGAAAATATATACACAACTGTTTCAGTGTGTAACATTCCCCTATATACTGTCTACCATCATCTTGGGTAAAGGTATGCACACTACCCTTTGGGGATCTCATAGACCAGTGGTTCTCAAAGAGTGATCCCTGGACCAGTAACATCAGCATCCCCTGGGAACTCATTAGAAATGCACATTCTCCAGCCCCACCCCAGACATACTGAATCCGAGTCTCGGAGGGTGAGGCTAGCAATCTGTGTATTGACAAGCCCTCCAGGTGATGTGCTCAAGATTGAGAACAGCTGTTGGAGACATTTCTGGGCCGTCATGAGCTGACCGCTTCTACACAGGAGTGCCTCACTCAGACCCCTTCCTAAGCCTTGGCTCAGCCCTGCCTCCTTCAGGGCTATTCATCTGTCCCCGTTCAACAACTGAGACTGGAACAAACATGAGAGCACACACCTGCTTTTCCTGCAGCTCACGCAGCTGGGTCCCCACAGAGGCAGCTTCTTTTGGTACAATTTCCTTCCCACTTCTATTGTTTCCCAACCTTTCAAGCATTGAGTTGATCAACTTCAGAGGAAGAAACAGGTCACATCCTCTGTTCCATAAAAACTAATTACCTTCTCTGTCCTCCTCATTCTGTCCTGTGAGATGTGGGAGTCCTTGTTCCTCTTTGACCCAGCTTGGTCCTCCATGTGGTTGATGGCCTTCTCACCACTGGGCAGGGGGTAGGAGGCCCCCAGATGTCCACAGATGCTCTAAGACACTTTCTTGTCCTTTGACAAGAGCCTCCGTCCCTGGAGGGAGAAGCATAGGACCTTGTAAGGATTTGGCTTTGCTCAGCTCCTGACACTACAGCAGAGGCACCACTGTTTCCTTCAGGGTTTTTTCGCTTCTGTTCTCCACTTGCACTCTCTTCTTTGCTGACTTCAGCTATTTTGTAGCTTCAGCTGTGAAGCCTAAACCTGTCTGTCCAATCCCCACCTCTCAGATAAGCTCTAATTCTGCATTTCCCAGGCTAGCCCCATCCTCTGTACCTCATAGCCAGCAACTGCAAAGCTGAACATTTCACCTTTGTGGGGAAAGAGAAAACCTCGTCCCTCTAGACTTCTAAATTCTCAGCTGGGGCCCCGTTACAAAAGAGATTGATTAATGAGAGAAACACAAACAAGTTTATTCACAGGTATACCTCGTGTATACGTATATGGGAGACACCCAGGAAAAACTGAGTAACTCTCCAAGAGGTGGCTTAGAATTCAGGCTGAAATACCATCTTCGCTAAAAACAAAAAACCGGTGTGGGGAAGGCCGGTCATGGGGGCAAAGACCAGGAAAAGCACAGTGGTTTGTTACGCAGATTTAAGTCCCTGCCTTCTCCATGGATAAGAGTGTCTTGTGATTTCGGGTCACCCTTCTCTTCCTGGTACAGAGAGGGAGACACCCTTAACAAATGGAGAGTTCCTTTATAAATATAAATTTCCCATACGAAAGGGTAACTTGTACTCTACTTTCAGAGCTTATCTGCTGTCTGCTGTTTTAAAAAACAATCAGCTCAAAATAATCCATATACCAAAGGGGCACTGTCTGTGATGAATCCACCTGTTCTCTTGCATTTCCCATCTCAGCTTACGGAACCAAAGTCTACTGTATCATCCAAGCTAGAAAACCTTCTCTCTTCCTCACTCCCACATTTAAGGGGTCTTCAAGGCATGGTGATTCTACCTCTTCATCCTGAATCTTTCCTCCTCTCCATCCTGAAGCCACTTTCTTAGTGAAGGCCCTCAATATGTTATTGTTATTTTCCAGGCTGGAGTGGAATTCTAAATAACAAGTAAAATCACTAGCATATTTAGCACTTTGCTGCTAAAGCTTTCTCAGGGGCTCCGTACCACCTCCAGGGTCAAGTTCAACACCTTTGCAAATAAGGCCCTCAAGCACCCGGCCCCAGACTTCTTTTCCTACCTTGATCCCAAAGCACGCTGGACATGCTGGGAGATTTCTTGCCTCCTGGTCTGGGAGACCTTCCCGAAGCCTCTCCTTTCCCACCATCCCTGGAATCCCAGCTCTCATGTCAACCCTGTGCAGGTTCCTTGACTTTTCCCTGCATCCAGCCAAGCCTGGGCCCTGTCCTCGGCACCATCAGGATCTCTTCAGTGAGGGCAGGGCTTCTGCAGAGGGGTGGTCTCTCACTCACCCTGGCCCCCGCAGGGCCCAATGCATATACTCCTGTGAAACCAGCACTCAGCAGCCTACAGAGACCAACCCTCTTCCTGACAGGTGCTGGGAAGGAGAAAGCTTTCCTTGACCCTCTTAGGGTCCCCGAATGGGTCTAAAAATTAAACTGACAAAGGCAGATTAACAGGAGGAAAGCATATGAATTTAAAAAAATTTTTTTACATGTATGTAAGATTCCTCACAAGAGGATGAAGACTCAAAGAAGTGACCAGAGCAGGAAGATTTTACATTTCTTAGACAAAGAAACAATACATTTGTGAAGAATTGACAAAACAAAGGAGTTTGGGCTAGGGATGGTTCAACTAGGCCAAGGAGGTCCTTATCTCCCTCAACCCTTATCTTCCTTAATAGGGATAAGTGTTCGTTTAACGAGGTTTGTTTACAGATTCCTCTGGTGCCATCTCTGGGCTGGTAAGAGTCTATCTCCAGTAAAAGGAGAATTTATTTCCTGCCTTTAGGCAAAAAAAGGGAGAGGTTTTCCTGGGTTTGCTGCTTCTTAATTGCCTTCAGCTCAAAATAATTTTTATGTCAGAGAGGCATAATTTGGGGTGACATAGTCTGGTTTCTCTCACCAGCTCCCCTATAGCTGCAGAGTGCCCACATCCAAACACAAAGAGTTATTAACACAGTTCCATTCACCCCAAACAAAACTGGAAGTCCAGAGCAGGCCCTTTTGTCTGAAGTCACCAGGGCACTAAGCAAGCATGCCCACCTCCCATCCACACTAGACCTCTTGGACAACACTGACCATCTTAAGAAGTGTGAATGAAAAATGCCACCCGCCATATCAGTAAATGAAGGATGTGGCAGCCATCAAGCCAGTATAGCTGCCCCAAAAGTGACCCCTGAGGGGACTCAGGATGGGAAAGAATAGGATAGTGGCCCTACATAGCTAAGGTGCATATCAAAGGAATGATTTCAATGAGCCCAGACTCTCACATGTTCCCCTACATAGAAAAGTGCTAAATTCATTAACTTGAGATATCTGGGTTTTTTTTTGTTTTTTGGGGTTTTTTTTGCGGTACGCGGGCCTCTCACTGTTGTGGCCTCTCCCGTTGCAGAGCATAGGCTCCGGACACGCAGGCCCAGTGGCCATGGCTCACGGGCCCAGCCGCTCCGCGGCATGTGGGATCTTCCCGGACCGGGGCACGAACCCGTGTCCCCTGCATCGGCAGGCGGACGCTCAGCCATTGCGCCACCAGGGAAGCCCCTGGTTGTTTTTATATTAACAATAATCTTTTGAAGTTCCAACTGCCTGGTCTTTGTTGCAAAAAATTATCCTGGCTTCTCCCTTACCTCTTTGGAGCAGTCCCTTAGAGCTATCTGAGAGGCTGCGTCCCGGGCTTAAGTCCTCAGTTTTGTCAGCCAAGTAAAACATAATTCTTAACTTTTAGGTTATTCACTGAACTTTTAGGTTCAGTCGACAGAACCTAGAACCCAAACTAGCATCCCTCCTAACCTCCACATCTTCCTGTCTACATTATGTCACTTTAATTAGCATAACTTTACTAGTCCAGAGACTCTTACCTTGGAAAAGCAGGTCTTAATCAGGCCTTGCCCTTCCCTTATCAAGACACTATCAGCCTTCCTTAGGGTGGCAAACAATGAACACAGCTTTGCCATAGTAACGGGTGGTTTGAAAGCCGGCATTCATTCAACAAGGCTGTGTGTACTCTCCTGCCTAACTAGGGATTGTTCGTTTGCATTCAACGAGAGTTTTGTTCCCTCACCAAGTTCAACGATGAATAAGTTCTATATCTTCAGATGCTAATGCCTAGGTACTGTGAAAAACTTGGCCAGGCATGGAGACAGTATCCAAAATGCTTTCGTCTCTAGATCAAAACCCGCCTCTGGCTTCTTCCTGGCATCAAAACCCGCCTGCAGCTGTAAGCGTGATGATAAGGTGCCTTCTGAGAACTGACCAGCAGAGGGTGCTCTTGAGAAAGAAGAATCCTTTGGAAGCTTTTTCCTGTCAGGGACTGGAAAATTCCCACACACAGGAGGCACCACTTAATTGTAATTATTGTAATTCATGGTGAATGCAGGCAGAGCTTCCTCAGGACATAAACCAGAACAGTCACGGAGTGATAGGGGTGCCAAAGGCGCGAAACCCAGCAGAAGAACCTACCCAAAGTGGTACTCAGATGAGAATTTGAAGCCTCCAGTAGGGTTTTGCCTTCTTAAAGATTCCTGCAATAACAGCATTTCCTCCCAAGTAATTCTGAAACCTGCCACATTTAGGTCATGCCACGCTGAAGTCCTTCGGAACTACTTACTCTGGGTTCCTGAGAAATTATTCTCAATATTCAAGCAGAAAGTCACTCTGAACCAAGAGTTGGCAAACTTTTTCTGGTACTAATAGGCATTTTCACTTTTGCAGGCCATATAGTTTCTGTCACAACTTCTCAAATCTGCTGTTGTAGCTCAAAAGCCGGTACAGAAAATACAAAGTGAGTCGGCGTGGCTGTATTCTAATGAAACCTAATTTAGGGACCCTGAAATTTGGATTTTATATAACTTTCACAGGTCACAATTTTTCTTTTTGTTTTTTTCAACCATTTAAAAATGCAAAAATTATTTTTAGCTTATAGACCATACAAAACCCAGCCGGGTTTATCCCATGGACTGCAGTTTGCCAGCTCCCACTGTAAGCTATCTCTCGACACAAACTTTTAACTCCATCTGTAATTTCTATATCTCTTTGAGAGAATATCCTTGTAAATTTTTCTCTCTGGGACCATGTAGAAATATTCAGCCTCCAAGAAAGATGAAGGAACCAAACATCTCTTTGAGGTCCTGCTATGTCTATTACTGAGCACAGAGCTGTTGAAAATTCAGAAGTTATTAAAAACACATGATTCTCAAGGGTCACCACAACTACTTTTTCTGGTGTGAAATGGATTGTAAGAGCCTTTTGAGAGCAGGGTACACACCAAGTTCATCTTTTTCTTACTCAGTTTAGCTCAGTGCTTGGCATCCAAGGGGATCTCAGTTGTAGGGAAAAACCTGTGCTTCAGGAGAAAGTACACTCCTCTGAGTTATTCAGTTCTAGTTCCTGGGGGCTCTGTCCCTTTCCTTGCCTTTGAGCTACTGTATGACTCTGTGAGTTGTAGATAACTGAGAGCACTGTGAAATAGCTCTTGGTTAGACAAGCAGCTACGTTCTGTCTAGTGAAGGTTCAATTCGCTTCTCTCCCTCTTTGTGAAAGAGGCTAGTTTTACATCCATTTGCAAATCCACTTCAGTATTCCTGATCTGTAAATGTCTCTGCTGTTTGACTTTGGCTTTGTACCTATTGTAACACTTGCCTGGTTTCCTTATCAACAATGAGTTAAATCAAATCTTTGATATGTGTTTATTTTACACCTGTGTGAGAGTCATGATTCTACCGTTTTTTGTTTTTTTTTTTGGTGGAAAATTATCTCCTAACATGCTGTTTAATTGTGAAATTGAATTCAGGAATGTTTTCCTAGAAGACATTTGAACAGCATTCAAGGGGACAACCTAAAACACTTCTATCTTCCCCTTTTGAATCAAATCATCTTCTCTCCTCATATTCTACTCACGACTCTGCCACAAAATAGCTGCATGATTTTAAATGCCGCTTAAATTTTCCCACCTGCCAAAGAAGAGGTTGGACTAGAAAACTATTGATAAAGCAGTATTTCTCAAACTTTATGGTCTAAGGACTCCTTTTCACTTTTAAAAATTATTGATAACCTCTTTGAATTATGAAGACTGGTTTAGGTGGATCGTATCTATTCTATTTACCATATTAGGAATTAAAACTGAAAATTTTTCTTAACATATGCAGCTATTAATTCATTGAAAATAACAATAACGAAGCCATTACACGTTAACACACATAACTATGTTGTCCAAAACGAAAAATGTATATAACGAGAAGAGTGGCTTTGTTTTACAATTTTGCAAATCTTTTTAGTGATCAGCTTAATAGAAGACTGCTGAATTCTCATGTGTGTTTGCATTCGATCTGTTGTGACATCGATATCATTGTAGCCTCTCAAATCTCCACTCTACACACTCATGAATGAAAGCAGAAGAGGCAACTAACACCCCAGTATTATTATAAAAATAATTCTGACCTAGCAGACCCCCTGAAAGGATCTCAGGGACCCTTAGGAATTCCCGGAACACTCTTTGAGACCTGCTGTTGTAAAGTAGATGGAGATAACCTGCAGGTGGGAGTGGTGATGGGATGTACCAGTACCTCACGCTGACCCCTTTCTTAGGGTGCCAGTTTGCTTTTGCAGGCGCTCTGGAGCAGTAAAAGCTTTTCCTCCCGTGTGCGTGCATTGGATGCCAGCGCAGCAACCTCTGTTGATCTGTGCTGGGATCTGCATTCCGAGCTTGAGTGGGATACTGCATATTCTTGGAGTAGGGACAGAAAATGGGTTGGGGGTGGGGGAAGGAAATGAGCACCATTCTCATCCTTTCCCAAAGAGGGACTGGGTGAGACCTTGAAGCTACATTTGCAAGAGCCTTTTTCCGGGGCTTCTTCCCTGACCCTTTTCTCCAGTGAAACCCCTGGAAGCCTCCACTGCCACTCAGACCCTGCTTCTGACCCTTGGAGGGTTACTGGGCTCTGAGATCGCAGGGGAGCAGTTGCTAGAAAGGGAAGGGATTTTTCCCCTCCCGAAAGTCCTGAAGGAAAAGAAACACTCCGACCTTCCCTGTTAAAAATCACCCTTCCTGGTTTTCCTTGCTCAGGCTTCTCGATACCAGGATATATTTTCTGTGCCAGGTGAATACTTTCTAGGTACCAAATGACTACAGTGAAGAAAAGCTAAGTATTGACCAGAAAGAATTCACTGATTTCTTCATTCCAGAGAAGTGACTCGGAGGTTTGAAGTTTACAAACAATCTGCTTATTCTATAGATAAGAGCAGATTCAGAATTTTTTAATCACCTCCCTCTGACACACTTGCATTCTAATTTATAAGATAGTAATTGGGAGTTAAGTTTTTAGAATCAAGGCAGATTTAGGTTCATGTCCTCGATTTCCCACTTAATAGCAGTGGGAACTTGGGGAAATGTCAGACGTTCTAAGTTTCAAATTCCTCGTCTATAAAATGGGGGTGAATTCGTTTGAGTCCCCTAATGCAGAGCCTGTATCAAGGACTTGGATGCAGGTAATTCATTGGGGCTGGTGATCTCAGAAAGCAGAAATGTAGGAGGAAAGAAAATGAAACAGATAAGGAGGAAAAAAACCAATGTCATGTGTTATTTGCCTGGTTTTTATTCTGGTCAATTAAGACTCGGGCCTGCCAGAGACCATCCGAGAAATCCTACCAAACGCACCCCTAAATCAGACTCTGCAAGGCGGGCGCCTCATCCCTCATTGGTTGGGGATTGTCCCTGAGGGTATTCATTCTCCCCTCCCCCCTCCCCCCTCTGGACAAGAATGAGTCTGCTGCAGCTATGGCTGAAATCAGAAGCGGGTCACCAGATGTGACATGAGGCAACAAAGATGTTTGCTCCGCGAGAGCAGTAATATCCATGTCATGGAGTTACTGTGAGAACTAAATGCAGTGACGTCTATGCAATGTTTAGCATCAGGCTTGGCACATAGTTAAGTGCTTAATAAGTTGTTCACTTTACTGTTGCTGCTGCTGCTGTTATTATTATCATCATCACGATTATTGTCACTGCACTTTCTTGAATGAAAGAGACAGGGGTAAGTTTACGGTGTAGAGGACTCTAGGAATGAACATAATCTACAGCCTGTCTCTTCCATACCATCATTTACCATGACCTATGGCCAGTTGTTATGGTTATCGTGGATTGTTACAGTATTTTTACTTTCTCCCTTTGTGTGTGTATGTGTGTGTGTGTGTGTTGTCAAAATTTGGGTACAAGGAAAAGGCATATTCTGTCAGTTGTGTGGGGTGGAGAAAAGTTGCTAACCATTGCTCTGGAGTAGCACTTGCCAATAGAACTTCCTAAGTGATGGGAATGTCCTATGTCTCTGCCGTCCAATACACTTGTCACTAGCTGTGCGTGGCTACTGGACACTTAAACTATGGTTAGTGTGGTATGTATAACCAAATCACTTTGCTCTACACTTGAAACCAACACAACATTGTAAATCAACTATACTTCAATTTTTTTTTAAAAGCCACATGTAGACACAGTGGAGGGCAATTAGAGAAAGTGTTCTCAGTGGAGAGTGGAATGGACCCCTCCCTGGGGCTAAAATTAAGGCGATACAGTTAGCAGTATTTCCTCTGGCCCCCGGGGCCCACAGGGGCCCCCAAATCTCACTTCCAGGTTGGAAAGTGGTGGTATCTTCTAGACCAAGGGGCTGCTAGCTAAAGAGAATGAAGTCGTGGGGACATGGAGCTGGCACCAGTTAGAGAGGAGAGGTCACAGGCACCCTGAGACTTGGTCCATCATTCTGTGCACAGAGCCGACTGCTGGCCATCGGGGGTGGGGGGCAGTTGGGGGCGGAGCTTCATTCTCAGGCTCACAAGACGGCTTTTAATAGTTATGCCTCTTCCTTGTCCCATTTCTCTGCAGGCATTTGCCCTGTGCTCAATCCATCAATGATCATTGCTGAGTACCTCCTGTGTCCTCAAGTGCTGTGCTACACACCGAGGAGGATTAAAGAGAGGCCTGCTCAGCTGATGTTCTCTGCTCCCTAGAAAATGACAGTTTACCCTGAGAGACAAGATTCTCGTATAAGAAGCCATTAACTCCAACGTCACCTCCTCTGGCTGGCGATCCACCTCTGCCGTCCTCCCCTCGGCTTCCCGTGTCCTAGAACTTCTCACCGTGACTGATAACTACTGTCTACTTGCATACTTCCTCCACTAAACCAGGAGCTCCACAAAGGCAGGGCCCATGGCGTCCACCTTAGCATAATGCCTCAGACTCAGTCAAATACTAGATTTTTTGGTGCCGATGACAAGGGCAACAGCAGTTGAGCGAGGAAAGAGATGAGTATTCCCTGAAGTCATTCACAGACAGCGTGGAATTCAGACTGGGCTTGAAACCTAGCGAGATTTGTTTACTGGAGGAGCTGAGTAATGGCACTCCCGAGGGGGTAATATCATAGGCAAAGGCATGGAGGTAGGGTTGAAGATCTTACATTTACAGGAGACAGGATGAATCAGAGGAGAGTTTAGAAAACAAAGTAGGACTAGTCGGGTGGATTTGCCTCCCCAGGGCCTTGCCAGCCAGGAAGCTGCGTGTGGACCTGATGGGTTGATAAGAGCTCCGTGAGCCAGATTACTCCGGGTGGCTGCATGTGGGGAGGTCTGAGTTACATCAATGAGTCAGGCAGGATGTGGTTGGCACCAGTTATGTTTGCCTTTAACCTTCAATCTCTGATCCTCTAGTACAAGTACTTCAATTTCCTTGGAACCACTGTTCTGCCTGTGTGGCAGAGTGATCTCTACGGCCAGGTTCAGGGATGGGTGGGCACATGAACCAGATCCAGAGTCTTAGGAAGTGTTTCGGGGATACAGCCAGGGACTTTTGCTGGAGCTGCCATTATCTTTCTTCCGTGATGGCTAAACTGGTGGGATGTAAGCCTGGAGCTGCAGATACCATCCTGATGCTGCAGGGGAAGAGTCTGTCTGACAATTAAACCGGCACAAAAGAAAGTAGAGCCAAGGAAATGAGAGAGACACCTGATGACATCATCTGAGCACCTGGATCCAGCTGAGGCTGAATTGGGATCTGTTTCTGAGCTCTTCGGTTATTAGCCAGTTTCAGCTAGATTTCTGCCACTTGCATCCAGAGGACTCCTGATGAATGAATGCTCAGGGGTAAGTGGCATGACTTAGAGTGGGAGGAGATGAGAGACTGGCTACACCAGTGGGTGGACATGAGGCATTGAGGGTCTGAACTACAGAGTCCTGGGGTAGAGAGAAAAGGCAGTGAGTCAAAAGGCAAGTTGTGCAAGCAGGGTCTAGTGATTCTTTATCACCTCTTCCTTCACGATGCACTTTACCTCTTTCATTTGGCTTAGACAACTGTGTGAGGCAAGTGAATCAGGTACACTGTCCCCATTTTATAGCATGGAGAGGTTAAAGGACTTGGCCAAGGTCACATGGAGCTCTGGGGCCTTGTTCCTGTTCTCCAGCTCATGCTGGCTGGGCTCTTGCTTGCCTACAGTATGAACTGAGGTCACCAGGCACCATCTGTCTGTCACCTTGGTGTGGAGGTACACCCCGCCTCTGGGCTTCTTTTATTATGGACATGGAGAAGCAGTAGGAGTTCTTACTGAGGAAGGCCCGGGAGCCCGTGACCCCCTTCATTAAAAATAAATTCTGCCTGAGTCTCCTGGTTCTAAATAGAAGAGAATGTAGATTTGGGGCAGAACCGAAGGGAAAGGGATTTCCCTTGGCAAATTATTTGCAATTTGTGGATTGGAGCTGACCCAGCTCCAATTCCCACGTCATTGTGCTGTGTAAAATGTTAGCAGCTTATTAAAGAACCAGAGCTGGAGGCAATCCTCCCCTGGGGGCTCAACAGAACAGGAGCAGAGTTAAAACCCACCAGCTTCCTCCTCTCTGTGCCGCACGTCTGGGAGCTGCCGAGATTCTCAGTCGCGGGTCACGTGTTCACTCCAGGGCAGCCACTTCCTGCAGCTGTGGGAATAAGAGCCAGCGTGTTGTCAATTAGTTTGTGCCTTTCGTGAGGCGTGATGAAAAGCCAGCTGTCGTAGTTCTTAAATTAGTGGTCCTCAATAGCATGCAACGGAGTGCACGGTCTTAAGCACCATTGCTAGCAATTCTGAGTTAGTGGGGGGCCCAATGTCTGCCTTTTTCATCGGCATTCCAGGTGATTCTGAAACAGGTGATGCAGGGATCACAGTCTGAGAAACAATGATGTAAGTGGACAAATGCACAAACTCCAAGTGGCCCCTTCACTGGAAGTTTAAAGATGTTTTTGTCGCAGGCACGAATCCTGGGAGATCCAGCATTTCCTTACTAACTGGCTCTGTTACTCACTGGCATAATTTGAAGGACATACAGAAGGGTATCTTGACTGAGAAATCTCCAAGAAGCTGTGAATCTAGAGTTCTAAGCCTTTATCTTCTCTAGTACTCCTTTTAAATCATGAGCAGCTTATGGAGAACAGCATGTTTTCTGTTCAATTTTTTCTTTTTGTAGAGGAGGAATCCCCGTGTGGCATACCCATAACATGTTCAAGTGTAAATGCATCTCATGTTTCTTCACGGTCCAGCCTGCCAGAGCCTGGACTCTTCCCCATCACCTTTCTCTGTCCCCAGGCACTGTACCCAGGGAGAAAGGCTTTTAAAGAGCCTCATGTGAGATTTTCCCTCCTTAGGTGCTTCTATTAACAAACCCCTAAAGAAAATTCATGAATTCCTGTTTCCTCATCCACCTTGTTATGTGTCATCATCCTTCTCAAATTAACCATAGAATCGATGGGCGAGGTGGTCCACGGGCTTTCACAATAAAATCGACTGCATATGAAATGAATCTGAAAATTCCATTTATTAAAACAAATACATTGTCCGTGGGGGGATGAAAATGTACACATCACATTCAGGTTTTTCCGCTTTAACATTTCTGTATTTCCCTCTCTTTGAAAGATACACTCCATAGATCTTATATAGGAAAAATGTGAACAATTCTAGGGCTGGGAAAACATTAATGTATACGTAACAATTCACCATTGCCAGGAGCAGCTAGAAGCAAATAGTAAAAAAAAAAAAGTACAAAAATCCCTTAAGACAGCATGCTTCTCAAAATATCTTTTGTAAATATGAGTATATGGAGAAATGGTTTAAAACTTTTCCTTGGTGAGCAATCTCTTTCAAATATTATTAGCAAAATTAGCCTCAGTTCAAAGTACTTATTCACACACTCTGACTTAAATAGCACTTGGTTTAAAATGGAAAGAAAAAAAAAAAGAAAACAGATTTAATATTGAGGATAAGACTGTTTTTTTTCTTAATAGAGTTTGCATTCTAAATATGAGCTTTATTATTACTGTTCAAAGAATTCCATGGCAGATTTTCATTACTACCCAATATATTATATATGTAAATTTGGGCCTTGAATAATTAAGCTAAGTTTTCCTATTAGTATACCCCTTAAGATAAAATTATGCTGGTGAAAATGATTGTTAAATTTCTAAAAGAATTAAAACTCTTTAGAGGCATAAGTAATCAAAAGATTAGTTCCCCCTTAACAAGTAAAAATACCACTAAATCAAAACTCATAGAAAAACTCTGGGATTATAATTCCCTTCTGTAGCACATGAAATTATGAAAAAGTCAAACATTTTTCTTAAGTTTAATTTCAGATGGGCTGTGTATTTTCTGCCTTCTTTCTCCTTTGATAAACAAGATCACATGAAGTTTGGAACTTCCTTAACTTTTAATTACCAGAGCTGTATTCCTAAAAGTTTTAATTCCATTTTAATTGCTCCAAAGACCTAGCTTTACATGAAAATATAGAGTCCTTCTGAGAAAAGTAAATGGTGTGGATTATGAAAAGCATCAGGGTCTTATAATGATGCCTTAATCACCACCAAAGAGTGCTTTATTCACAGTTGTTTTTATGTGACCACATATTCAATTCATATTTCTGCTCATTTTAAAAATGTGGTTGGGTTTTAGCTGATTCCACAGTATTACTAAGCCAATGGTACAATACTGTAGTTTAATAAATACTCTGCCAAGGTTTTTCCCCTCTAAACCTTCTTCAGTGTCCCACTGACTGTAGCAAAATCCCAAGGTTTGAACAGAAGTATCTGGTTATAGGAGTGCATTCATACACTTCACAATGTCTTAATATTCTCCTCCCCCTCCCCAGGCATGAGTTTTAACTGGATGTATTTATTCTTTTACCATCATGCCCATACAAGGAGCTAAGGAGAATGTTTATCAAGTCTGTTTCAAGATCTGTCCTTGGCATATTACATCTTTTTATCTTTTTTTTTTCCCTTCCTTTCCATCTTTTTTTTTTAGTGGGAGGAAGAGAATGGAAAGAGAATAAAATTAATTCAGAAATGGTCTTTCGGGATTTCAAAGCAAATAAGGAATTGTAAGAGAGCCCACACCTGCCTGGGAATGACACAGAAAAAAATGAGACAGACTTCCAGACCTCCCATTACTGGTGGAGCCACAAAGAAAAATCACTTTCAACATCATTTCTTGGGAAGAGAGAGCCCGAGCTGCAAGGAAGATTGTAAATAAGACTCTAACAAACAAAGCAGAGGACAAAAACAAAGAAAAGATTCTATTGAAAATTTTGGTGGGTAAAAAACAAAGGTCATTTCAGGGGCAAAAAGAGCCAGAACCCTTTCTGGTGGAGCTGCTGGGGGCAGCAGCTGCCCCCTTCTCCCTAGCCCGTGAGCAGCCAGGTTCTGAGAGTGGGTCTGGTCTGGAGTTGTGGGTTTATTTCTCCTGATACTTAAACAAACAAGGGCCACGTTTTTTCTTGTTAAGAACAGCACAGAAAGGCTTCTTTCAATCTAGAGTTTCTGTGATTCAGGGAAAAAGGGAATTTGCTCTGACCCTTTGATTAAAGCACTTCCCAACTGAGGGTGAATCCTTGCCTCTGTCACTTGGCCCTCCCTGTGCTGCCCTGGGTCCTGGATCAAACCAAAATGCTTTGGATTCTGGAAAATATGTTGAAGAGGTGTGGATGCCACTGTTAACTAGGAGGTATTTTCGGCATGGCTAAGGCTCTGAAGTAATCTCAATTTTCAAGATACTGAGTTTTTTCCTCCCCAGCTTCCTTTCTCTTTCATTCTTTTTCTAAACTTTATAGTAAAACTTTTTCTTTACTTTATAGTAAAACTGAATGGATGTAACATGGGGACATTTTCATGCAGTGTTACTCAAAAATTGTCACAAATATATGAAAGCACCAGTCACAACACATGATTTACTTTTACTTGCAGAATCAAAGCTATCATGTACAAATGTTAGGAACAGTGATAAAAGAATACAGACAACCGGCATTTGTTGTTGTTGTTGTTATTACCATGAGGATAAACCACGGGGAACATCTCCTTAAACCCTTTGGGTGCTCATCCTTTGAGTTCAATCTCACAGACAAATCCAGCCTTATCTCTTTACTACTCTAATGGGGAGGGGTGGAAGGAGGGGTAGGGGAGAAGGGAAAAAGAAAAAGAAAGGCACAAAGACGAAACATCAACGCCATTAAACCGAACCGCACCTACACTGGATGACTCAGCTCGTCAAAGGGTATTCTAAAGGCAATATTCATTCCAAGAAGGTCATACATATCTGAGCTCAGTACAGCTGTCTGTTTTATTTTTTAAATATGAAGCAGAAACATAAGGTTTGGGAGGGATAGCAGGAAAGAAATGACACCGATTTTATCTTTACATACTCCCCTCCTCCAGGCAATTCTGCAGACATCAGATCTCTTAACTCGGGGTGTGGATCAGCTCTCATTCTCATAAAGGGGACCAGTTCTTTAAACATGCATAGCCTGGAGTCTCCAGGATGGTTCTCCTCCCTCTCTTTAAATGCTGTGGACTAGAAAGGCGCCCACTTTGCTAAAAACTCTACATCAGTGTCCCTGGAGCCCCGAGGCTCCTCAGGTTCCTCTTGAAGACTTAAAGGATAGCACAGAAAAACTTCTTCTCCCTAAATGGGTTCTCTGAAGCCGGAACAGGCGTCAGGAGGGGATCTTCCTTGGCATGCGCTTCACAGTAGGCCATCAAGTCTGCAGCTGCCTTGGACACCTGGAAAAGACGACAAAAACAACCAAAACTTGAGATGGGGCGTCGACGAAGGCATTGATGCAGGCGCAACGAGTCAAGGCTAAGGCCTGGGTGTCCAAACTGCCTGGGTTCAAGTGAAGCAAGATACTCATGCCCCATAAGCCTCTGTTTCCTCATCTGCGAAGAAGGGAGCTGATGATCTTGACCTTACGGGATTGTTACAAGCAGGTCCGGGATTAGGGTGAGGTGAGGCTCTGAGGGTACAACACTGAAGGAGGCGTTCAGGGTCATGCAAGTATCAACCTTGTATTTGTCCAGCCCTGAGAGTGGGTGTCTCCTCAAATTCTGTGCCCCAGGTAGGTTGCTTCCCTCATCCTAGTCCCAGCCCTGGCTGCAAGGATTAAGTGAGGTAATTCACATAAATCATTTAGTGCCTGGAACATAGGAAGATTTCCACATAGGCTGGCCGTCATTATCATTCTGTAGTTGTGTCTCTCTGCTTCAGAAACTGTGCTAGGGATGCCTAAAGCCATGTTGATTTCCTTTTTTAACAAACACATCAGAGATATTATATACTTATACATACACACATAACCTTATACGTTATGCATTTTTATATTTTATATGTGTTATGTACGATAAGATATTAATATGTTATAATTTATTACACATTATATATATTCCTTCAATCAAGCATTGCACCTTTTAGGGAGTCCCACTGGGAGGCTGGTCAGTGATCTCATCTCAGTGATGCTGTTGTTTCATAACACTTCTCATAACGCTTCTGCAGCTCCTCGTTGGTAGTCTTCTGGAGTACCTTCCTTTGATCAGCTTTGACAGTGGCAAATTTTCACTACTTGAGAGGGGATTTAATTTGGGGTAGTGAACTAAAAGTTATTTGTAACCACAT